TCTCACGAGTCGGACACGATGGGCGCGTTCCAGCGCATACGCGGGATGAGTCAATGATAAAAATCGAACTTTACTCTGTCGTGCACGGAAGGATACGGGAGGACGGTGTTGCGTCGTAGAAGGGTCGTGCGCGACGTTTCTACGACGCAATGTGTGCATGCGTATATGTACATAACAAAGGGGGATAGCGTAAGCGGCGCGGGACGCACGCATCGGCGCCGGCGACCGTCTGGCGACGCATCCGCGCAATCTTGTTTACAAAGATTGGGGCGGCGTGCGCTGCGAGTTCGGACATGTACGACGCCGGTGGGCTCGGGCGCTCGGCTTCCGTAGTCCCCGCACCCTTTGTTTTCCCCGATGTCTGCGAGCCGCTGATCGAGGATCGATAGGCGGACCTAAGGGCCCACCAATAAGATTTTGGGAAAACTTCCTGAAGTCTTGGCGGGGGATCGCAGTACATATAGTCGAGCGCGATAGTCCAGCATACAGTATAGTACAGAAGACAGAACAGTAAGAATCGAGCAGTCAGACAGTATACTTGTGACGAACCGAACGATCTCCCGTGTGCAAGAGTTTCGACCGTGATCTACTCGCTGAGGGTCGCATCGTAGCATCCGTGAAGGTGACTCAGGGCAACAGCCCCAAGGCGTCGTCACCGTACACACGATCAGTCCGCGACTCAGGGCAACAGCCCCTAGGCGTCGTCGCTGAACCAAATAACTATCGTCATAAACGATAGACAAAACAATAAGTGCGTACACACGATCAGTCCGCGACTCAGGGCAACAGCCCCTAGGCGTCGTCGCGGACATCTCTATCGCGAGTGCGAGACACAAAGACTTGTGGCATATTCTGAAGACCGGACCAATAAACAATATATTCACAACCCAACATCACTTGTTATTGTTGTTACGCGAAAAGACAGCGCGAACACGAAACTGTTCGTGTTGAAACTGAACATTTTGGTGCCTCCTGTGAGGTGTGTGCCTCAATCCACGCAAGAAACGGGATCCAGCCTGAGAGCCGCCTCACATCTACTAAGAGCGGGTCCTCCAAGTCAGCCGAAGGAGGAACGCGTGCAATCGTACTCGACAGGCGTAAGAGTAAGTCATTCTTCCACACCATTTACATTCCGTCGCATGCCGAGATGGCGGACCAAATCAAACTCCTCGTTCAGAAACAAGCTTCCCTGAAATCCCAAATAACCAATTTAGCCAATATCGTCGAAGGGGGGAAAATTGATAACGCGACGTTAAGGTGGCGAAACGAGCGTTTAACGCAATTATATCGGACCTTCGAAGGGTGTAACGATGAACTCGCGGTATTAGATCCTAACGCGAATCATCGGGTCGAGTTCGAGGGTATCCAGGAGCGATTTTATGCATTGGCGGGAAAAATCGAGAGTATTTTACGTCCGGGAAATGCGCCGTCGGGAGATACGTCCGAACCGAGCACCAGCGTATCAAACGAAGAAGTGCGGCGCGGTGACATCGTACCGCCGGTCGAGAAACGGCGGATTAAATTGCCCGAAACGCCGTTACCAAAGTTTGATGGTAGATTCGAGGGATGGTTATCATTCAAAAACGCGTTTTACAGTATGATAGGCTCGCGAACGGACCTTGCGGAAATAGACAAATTGCATTACCTTAGATCGGCGTTAACTGGCGAAGCCGCGAACAAGATTAGGATCTTCGAAATTGACGGAATTAATTATGCCAAGGCCTGGAGCTTATTAGAACGGTCATATGAGGTCAAGAGGATCTTGATATCGCGGCATCTCTCTCTGCTATTAAATTTGCCCGCGCTAGACAAAGAAACAGCGAACGGTTTGTCCAGACTCGCGGACGACGCACAGCAACACGTTGCATCGCTAAACTCTTTGGGAATTTCGGTCGGACACGAGATGATCGTGCATTTGCTAGAGACCAAGCTACCAAGGATAACGTTGGAAAAATGGGAGGCGACTCTCGAAAGAGACGAGTTTCCGGAACTCGACCAGATGTACGAGTTCTTATATAAAACCGCGGTTTGCGTCTCGAAGCGCGAGAGAGCGAAGGTAACCGACATGGAGGGAAGCAGGGGAGAACCCTCGAGCAAAAGAAGACGAAGTCATCCCTCGAATCAAGCGTTTGTCGTGAGCGCGGCGCGTAATTGCATAGCATGCAAAACGAAACGGCATCCCTTGTATTTATGCGACAAGTTCAAACAGCTACCTATACCCAAACGTATCGAAACGGTGAGAAACGCGAAGGTTTGTTACAACTGCTTCCGCTCACATAGAGACAGCCCCTGCAAATTTTCGAACTGTACAATTTGCCAAAAGAAGCATAACACTCTTCTGCATTTAGACCAATACCCGGTGACGAATCGAACTTCCACTTCTAAGGCCGTAGATACACAGGCCGCATGAATAGCCGAGTCGATTAATACCGCGAAGATAAGGCATGCTATGGTGTCGTACACGCCCGCACCACAATTACTAGCGAGTGCCGTGGTATATGTCCGGGATCGCGGGCGTAATCCGATAAAATTCCGCGCCTTATTAGATACTTGTGCCACAGCAAATTTTATTTTTGGAATCTATTCTAAAGCGATTGAACATTCATGTAAGCAAAGGCGCGTTGTCAGTTGGTATGATCAATGACGTAAATACGGAGTCGAGAGGCATAGTACGGATCACTATGCAATCCACGCGCGATAATTGTCGCAGGGATCTCACGTGTCTGGTGATTCCGGCCATCGCCGATTTAATTCACTCAGAAGTCTTTCCGAGAGACACGATCAAATTACCCTCAAACGTTAGATTGGCGGCTCCGAAATTCCACCTGCCACGCGCGGTTGATTTGCTGATTGGCTCAGGGCTCACCTTATCTCTGTTCTCCGTCGGTCAGATCAACTTGTCGCGTGAAGATCACGATCTGTATTTGCAGAAAACACGACTCGGATGGGAGGTGGTAGGTGGTGTACCGTCGCAAGTTCCTTCAAACCCTACGCGTCACATGACGAATCTCGAGAATCAGTTAAACAAATTTTGGGCAATTGAAGAAGTCAGGGAAATTAAGAGGAAATCAGACGAACAAATCAATTGCGAAGCGCACTTCGAAGGGACGGTGTCTCGCGACGCCGTCGGGCGTTACAAGGTTCGCTTACCGTTTCGCAAATCAAACACGCGACTAGGGGAATCGCGTTCCATCGCGCTTAAACGTCTATTGTCGCCGGAGCGTAGATTCAATTCAAACACAGCGTTAAGAAACGAGTAACACGACTAAGGTTCGAGTGGTGTTCGACGCGTCGGCGAAGACGAATAACGGAATGTCCTTGAACGACGCGTTAATGGTAGGACCTACAATTCAAGACACGTTGTTCTCGCATTTTAATTCGATTCCGCACATATAATTATGTCATCACGACAGACATCGAAAAGGTGTATCGCCAGGTGTTATTGCACGAAGATGATCGCCGTTATCAGAGATTCCTCCGGCGCGTGGATGGTAGAGTTAAAACGTTTCAGCTTAACACGCTTACATGCGGTGTTTCGCCTTCTTCCTTCCTCGCGATTCGAGTTTTACAGAAACTTGCGGAGGACGAACGTCATACGTATCCTCGAGCGGCCGAGATTCTTACCACACATCTTTATGTAGATAATTTGTTATCCGGCGCTGATACGATTGTAGAGGCGCGCGCCGTCCGTAACGAAATAATCGCGTTACTGAAACGGGTGGTTTCTCCAGAAGGCAACGGGCATCCAACGACGAGCGCGTTATTAACGATTTAGCCTCCAATGCGTTGCGTACCAATCTCGTGTTAAACGTGGATCATTCCGTAAGGACGTTAGGTATAACACGGAATACGCGAGACGATCAAATGCGTTATGCGGTGCGTCCGATCGAAATTACTCAAAGATTGACAAAACGAAACATATTATCGGAAATCGCAAAGATTTGACCCAATTGGATCACTCGGTCCGATTATTCTATACGCTAAAAGGCTGATGCAAGACATATGGCTATTCCGGTTTACAATGGGACGAATCTGTCCCACAAGACATATATACGGAGTGGAAGGAATTTGTTCGACAATTAGAATCAATAAATCGCTTTACTTTGAACGTAAATTGCTAATAAATGACTATCGCGACGTTCAAATACACGGGTTCTGTGATGCCAGTAGTGTCGGCTACGGTGCATGCTTGTATGTTCGATCTAACAGGAAAAATGAGACTGCGATTGTCAGATTGGCATGCGCCAATCCAGAGTTGCACCGTTAAAGCCTATTACTATTCCGCGTTTAGAACTCTGTGGTGCAGTAGTATCGGCACAATTATATCGGGAAGCGAGCGCTATATTAAACGTTACGCCTAACCGAGTCATTTCTTTGGTGCGATTCGACCATCGTTTTGCATTGAATGAAAACGCCGCCTCACCTCCTTAAGACGTTCGTAGCAAACCGAGTCACAGAAATTCGGAATATCACTGGTTTCAACGTGTAGCGGCACGTACAGTCGGAAGACAATCCGGCGGACGCGTTATCAAGAGGTCAGTTGCCTCATACCTTTTTACGAAACAAAATGTGGCTTACGGCGCCCTCGTGGTTAGTCGAGGACGAGAGCGAGTGGCCCAATGAGATCATGCAAACAGACATCGAGATAACGGAATTAAAGAAAAACGCCTGTTG